ATACTAAAGTGGATTATGAGGTTAGAGTCGAAATTTAGATAAAAGGTAAAAATTGACAAGTTGAAATTGACAATTTAAATTATGACATTCAAAATCAAAATTGACAAACAGTTAAAAATTTTAATTAAATGAAAAGTCTAAATTATGATATAAAAAGTCATAATTGACATACTAAGTCATTATTATGACATACTAAGTTCAAATTATAACAGTCAAAATTGACATTTAAAATCAAAATGGACAAAAAGTAAATTATGAGAGAAGTCAAAACTGAGATGAAATCTAAATAATGGTAAGTCATAATTGACATTAAGTTGAAATTATGAGAGTCAAAATGTACATTCAAAGTCAAAATTTGCATACTAAGTCAAAACTGAGTCATAACGACAAAAATTTACATTCAAAGTCAAAATTGACAAATCATAATTATGACAAGAGTCCATTATGTGCGAAGAGTCAAAATTGAGATAAAAATGGGAAATTATGACTTTTTGTTTTTCCCCGAATTTCATCTTTTTATCTCATAATTTTGATTTGCCATGGGTCTCGACTAACTCATAATTTCAACTTTCCTCAATTTATTATGTTGTCATAATTTCGACATGGCCAATTTGGACTTTTTGCCAATGTGTAATTATGATGGAATGATTTAAAACAATAAATACTTTGTAAGAATCTTTTTTTGCAGAGTAAAGACTGAAAATAATGAGAGTTCAGAGAAGTATGAAGCATATCCTGAGCTCCACATCTGTGTGCGAGGACTTCCTCTCTGATCAAACGTTCCCTGTTTCCGCAGATTCACAGCAGGAGGAAAAAGATCCTGGACTTGTACACTAAAGCCTGCAGTGTTGCGGAGGGTGAGTGTGTGACTTTACTGCGCTGCAAACACACTCACACACTTACTACACACTTCACTTAAAATAAACACTTAAATGTGTGTTCTTCCACTGGGACAAATAGATTTTACACCTCTCGTGTTTATATTATACAAAACAATAAATCATGAAGAATTCATAATTATGTGTTTTACTCCTGGTGTTACTCTGGTGATGATTAAGCGTTTTACTCCTGGTGTTACTCTGATGATGATTAAGTGCTTTACTCCTGGTGTTACTCTGATGATGATTAAGCGTTTTACTCCTGGTGTTACTCTGGTGATGATTAAGCGTTTTACTCCTGGTGTTACTCTGATGATGATTAAGCGTTTTACTCCTGGTGTTACTCTGATGATGATTAAGCGTTTTACTCCTGGTGTTACTCTGGTGATGATTAAGCGTTTTACTCCTGGTGTTACTCTGATGATGATTAAGCGTTTTACTCCTGGTGTTACTCTGATGATGATTAAGTGTTTTACTCCTGGTGTTACTCTGATGATGATTAAGCGTTTTACTCCTGGTGTTACTCTGATGATGATTAAGCGTTTTACTCCTGGTGTTACTCTGATGATGATTAAGCGTTTTACTCCTGGTGTTACTCTGATGATGATTAAGTGTTTTACTCCTGGTGTTACTCTGATGATGATTAAGCGCTTTACTCCTGGTGTTACTCTGATGATGATTAAGCGTTTTACTCCTGGTGTTACTCTGGTGATGATTAAGCGTTTTACTCCTGGTGTTACTCTGATGATGATTAAGCGTTTTACTCCTGGTGTTACTCTGATGATGATTAAGTGTTTTACTCCTGGTGTTACTCTGGTGATGATTAAGTGTTTTACTCCTGGTGTTACTCTGATGATGATTAAGTGTTTTACTCCTGGTGTTACTCTGATGATGATTAAGTGTTTTACTCCTGGTGTTACTCTGATGATGATTAAGCGTTTTACTCCTGGTGTTACTCTGATGATGATTAAGTGTTTTACTCCTGGTGTTACTCTGATGATGATTAAGCGTTTTACTCCTGGTGTTACTCTGATGATGATTAAGCGTTTTACTCCTGGTGTTACTCTGATGATGATTAAGCGTTTTACTCCTGGTGTTACTCTGATGATGATTAAGCGTTTTACTCCTGGTGTTACTCTGATGATGATTAAGCGTTTTACTCCTGGTGTTACTCTGATGATGATTAAGCGTTTTACTCCTGGTGTTACTCTGATGATGATTAAGCGTTTTACTCCTGGTGTTACTCTGATGATGATTAAGCGTTTTACTCCTGGTGTTACTCTGATGATGATTAAGCGTTTTACTCCTGGTGTTACTCTGATGATGATTAAGCGTTTTACTCCTGGTGTTACTCTGATGATGATTAAGCGTTTTACTCCTGGTGTTACTCTGGTGATGATTAAGCGTTTTACTCCTGGTGTTACTCTGGTGATGATTAAGCGTTTTACTCCTGGTGTTACTCTGATGATGATTAAGCGTTTTACTCCTGGTGTTACTCTGATGATGATTAAGTGTTTTACTCCTGGTGTTACTCTGATGATGATTAAGTGTTTTACTCCTGGTGTTACTCTGATGATGATTAAGTGTTTTACTCCTGGTGTTACTCTGGTGATGATTAAGCGTTTTACTCCTGGTGTTACTCTGGTGATGATTAAGCGTTTTACTCCTGGTGTTACTCTGATGATGATTAAGCGTTTTACTCCTGGTGTTACTCTGATGATGATTAAGCGTTTTACTCCTGGTGTTACTCTGATGATGATTAAGCGTTTTACTCCTGGTGTTACTCTGGTGATGATTAAGCGTTTTACTCCTGGTGTTACTCTGATGATGATTAAGCGTTTTACTCCTGGTGTTACTCTGGTGATGATTAAGCGTTTTACTCCTGGTGTTACTCTGATGATGATTAAGCGTTTTACTCCTGGTGTTACTCTGATGATGATTAAGCGTTTTACTCCTGGTGTTACTCTGATGATGATTAAGCGTTTTACTCCTGGTGTTACTCTGATGATGATTAAGCGTTTTACTCCTGGTGTTACTCTGATGATGATTAAGCGTTTTACTCCTGGTGTTACTCTGATGATGATTAAGCGTTTAACTCCTGGTGTTACTCTGATGATGATTAAGCGTTTTACTCCTGGTGTTACTCTGATGATGATTAAGCGTTTTACTCCTGGTGTTACTCTGGTGATGATTAAGCGTTTTACTCCTGGTGTTACTCTGATGATGATTAAGCGTTTTACTCCTGGTGTTACTCTGATGATGATTAAGCGTTTTACTCCTGGTGTTACTCTGATGATGATTAAGCGTTTTACTCCTGGTGTTACTCTGATGATGATTAAGCGTTTTACTCCTGGTGTTACTCTGGTGATGATTAAGCGTTTTACTCCTGGTGTTACTCTGATGATGATTAAGCGTTTTACTCCTGGTGTTACTCTGATGATGATTAAGTGTTTTACTCCTGGTGTTACTCTGATGATGATTAAGTGTTTTACTCCTGGTGTTACTCTGATGATGATTAAGTGTTTTACTCCTGGTGTTACTCTGGTGATGATTAAGCGTTTTACTCCTGGTGTTACTCTGGTGATGATTAAGCGTTTTACTCCTGGTGTTACTCTGATGATGATTAAGCGTTTTACTCCTGGTGTTACTCTGATGATGATTAAGCGTTTTACTCCTGGTGTTACTCTGATGATGATTAAGCGTTTTACTCCTGGTGTTACTCTGATGATGATTAAGCGTTTTACTCCTGGTGTTACTCTGATGATGATTAAGTGTTTTACTCCTGGTGTTACTCTGATGATGATTAAGTGTTTTACTCCTGGTGTTACTCTGGTGATGATTAAGTGTTTTACTCCTGGTGTTACTCTGATGATGATTAAGCGTTTTACTCCTGGTGTTACTCTGATGATGATTAAGCGTTTTACTCCTGGTGTTACTCTGATGATGATTAAGCGTTTTACTCCTGGTGTTACTCTGGTGATGATTAAGCGTTTTACTCCTGGTGTTACTCTGATGATGATTAAGCGTTTTACTCCTGGTGTTACTCTGATGATGATTAAGCGTTTTACTCCTGGTGTTACTCTGATGATGATTAAGCGTTTTACTCCTGGTGTTACTCTGATGATGATTAAGTGTTTTACTCCTGGTGTTACTCTGATGATGATTAAGCGTTTTACTCCTGGTGTTACTCTGATGATGATTAAGCGTTTTACTCCTGGTGTTACTCTGATGATGATTAAGCGTTTTACTCCTGGTGTTACTCTGGTGATGATTAAGCGTTTTACTCCTGGTGTTACTCTGGTGATGATTAAGCGTTTTACTCCTGGTGTTACTCTGATGATGATTAAGCGTTTTACTCCTGGTGTTACTCTGATGATGATTAAGCGTTTTACTCCTGGTGTTACTCTGGTGATGATTAAGCGTTTTACTCCTGGTGTTACTCTGATGATGATTAAGTGTTTTACTCCTGGTGTTACTCTGATGATGATTAAGCGTTTTACTCCTGGTGTTACTCTGATGATGATTAAGTGTTTTACTCCTGGTGTTACTCTGATGATGATTAAGCGTTTTACTCCTGGTGTTACTCTGATGATGATTAAGCGTTTTACTCCTGGTGTTACTCTGATGATGATTAAGCGTTTTACTCCTGGTGTTACTCTGATGATGATTAAGCGTTTTACTCCTGGTGTTACTCTGATGATGATTAAGCGTTTTACTCCTGGTGTTACTCTGATGATGATTAAGCGTTTTACTCCTGGTGTTACTCTGATGATGATTAAGCGTTTTACTCCTGGTGTTACTCTGATGATTAAGTGTTTTACTCCTGGTGTTACTCTGATGATGATTAAGTGTTTTACTCCTGGTTTTACTCTGATGATGATTAAGCGTTTTACTCCTGGTGTTACTCTGATGATGATTAAGCGTTTTACTCCTGGTGTTACTCTGGTGATGATTAAGCGTTTTACTCCTGGTGTTACTCTGATGATGATTAAGTGTTTTACTCCTGGTTTTACTCTGATGATGATTAAGCGTTTTACTCCTGGTGTTACTCTGATGATGATTAAGTGTTTTACTCCTGGTGTTACTCTGATGATGATTAAGTGTTTTACTACTGGTGTTACTCTGGTGATGATTAAGCGTTTTACTCCTGGTGTTACTCTGATGATGATTAAGTGCTTTACTCCTGGTGTTACTCTGATGATGATTAAGTGTTTTACTCCTGGTGTTACTCTGATGATGATTAAGTGTTTTACTCCTGGTTTTACTCTGATGATGATTAAGCGTTTTACTCCTGGTGTTACTCTGATGATGATTAAGTGCTTTACTCCTGGTGTTACTCTGATGATGATTAAGCGTTTTACTCCCGGTGTTACTCTGATGATGATTAAGCGTTTTACTCCTGGTGTTACTCTGATGATGATTAAGTGTTTTACTCCTGGTGTTACTCTGATGATGATTAAGCGTTTTACTCCTGGTGTTACTCTGATGATGATTAAGTGTTTTACTCCTGGTGTTACTCTGATGATAATTAAGTGTTTTACTCCTGGTGTTACTCTGATGATAATTAAGTGTTTTACTCCTGGTGTTACTCTAATGATAATTAAGTGTTTTACTCCTGGTGTTACTCTGATGATGATTAAGCGTTTTACTCCTGGTGTTACTCTGATGATGATTAAGCGTTTTACTCCTGGTGTTACTCTAATGATAATTAAGTGTTTTACTCCTGGTGTTACTCTGGTGATGATTAAGTGTTTTACTCCTGGTGTTACTCTGATGATAATTAAGCGTTTTACTCCTGGTGTTACTCTGATGATGATTAAGTGTTTTACTCCTGGTGTTACTCTGATGATGATTAAGTGTTTTACTCCTGGTGTTACTCTGATGATAATTAAGTGTTTTACTCCTGGTGTTACTCTAATGATAATTAAGTGTTTTACTCCTGGTGTTACTCTGATGATGATTAAGCGTTTTACTCCTGGTGTTACTCTGATGATAATTAAGTGTTTTACTCCTGGTGTTACTCTAATGATAATTAAGCGTTTTACTCCTGGTGTTACTCTAATGATAATTAAGCGTTTTACTCCTGGTGTTACTCTGATGATGATTAAGCGTTTTACTCCTGGTGTTACTATGATGATGATTAAGCGTTTTACTCCTGGTGTTACTCTGATGATGATTAAGCGTTTTACTCCTGGTGTTACTCTGATGATGATTAAGCGTTTTACTCCTGGTGTTACTCTGATGATGATTAAGTGCTTTACTCCTGGTGTTACTCTGATGATGATTAAGCGTTTTACTCCTGGTGTTACTCTGGTGATGATTAAGCGTTTTACTCCTGGTGTTACTCTAATGATAATTAAGCGTTTTACTCCTGGTGTTACTCTGATGATGATTAAGTGCTTTACTCCTGGTGTTACTCTGATGATGATTAAGCGTTTTACTCCTGGTGTTACTCTGATGATGATTAAGCGTTTTACTCCTGGTGTTACTCTAATGATAATTAAGCGTTTTACTCCTGGTGTTACTCTAATGATAATTAAGCGTTTTACTCCTGGTGTTACTCTGATGATGATTAAGTGTTTTACTCCTGGTGTTACTCTGGTGATGATTAAGTGTTTTACTCCTGGTGTTACTCTGATGATGATTAAGCGTTTTACTCCTGGTGTTACTCTGATGATAATTAAGTGTTTTACTCCTGGTGTTACTCTAATGATAATTAAGTGTTTTACTCCTGGTGTTACTCTGATGATGATTAAGCGTTTTACTCCTGGTGTTACTCTAATGATAATTAAGCGTTTTACTCCTGGTGTTACTCTAATGATAATTAAGTGTTTTACTCCTGGTGTTACTCTAATGATGATTAAGTGTTTTACTCCTGGTGTTACTCTGATGATGATTAAGCGTTTTACTCCTGGTGTTACTCTGGTGATGATTAAGTGTTTTACTCCTGGTGTTACTCTGATGATGATTAAGCGTTTTACTCCTGGTGTTACTCTGGTGATGATTAAGCGTTTTACTCCTGGTGTTACTCTGATGATGATTAAGCGTTTTACTCCTGGTGTTACTCTGATGATGATTAAGTGTTTTACTCCTGGTGTTACTCTGGTGATGATTAAGCGTTTTACTCCTGGTGTTACTCTGATGATGATTAAGTGCTTTACTCCTGGTGTTACTCTGATGATGATTAAGCGTTTTACTCCTGGTGTTACTCTGATGATGATTAAGCGTTTTACTCCTGGTGTTACTCTGATGATGATTAAGCGTTTTACTCCTGGTGTTACTCTGATGATGATTAAGCGTTTTACTCCTGGTGTTACTATGATGATGATTAAGCGTTTTACTCCTGGTGTTACTCTGATGATGATTAAGCGTTTTACTCCTGGTGTTACTCTGATGATGATTAAGCGTTTTACTCCTGGTGTTACTCTGATGATGATTAAGCGCTTTACTCCTGGTGTTACTCTGATGATGATTAAGCGTTTTACTCCTGGTGTTACTCTGGTGATGATTAAGCGTTTTACTCCTGGTGTTACTCTGATGATGATTAAGCGTTTTACTCCTGGTGTTACTCTAATGATGATTAAGCGTTTTACTCCTGGTGTTACTCTGATGATGATTAAGCGTTTTACTCCTGGTGTTACTCTGATGATGATTAAGTGCTTTACTCCTGGTGTTACTCTGATGATGATTAAGCGTTTTACTCCTGGTGTTACTCTGGTGATGATTAAGCGTTTTACTCCTGGTGTTACTCTGGTGATGATTAAGCGTTTTACTCCTGGTGTTACTATGATGATGATTAAGCGTTTTACTCCTGGTGTTACTCTGATGATGATTAAGCGTTTTACTCCTGGTGTTACTCTGATGATGATTAAGCGTTTTACTCCTGGTGTTACTCTGATGATGATTAAGTGCTTTACTCCTGGTGTTACTCTGATGATGATTAAGCGTTTTACTCCTGGTGTTACTCTGGTGATGATTAAGCGTTTTACTCCTGGTGTTACTATGATGATGATTAAGCGTTTTACTCCTGGTGTTACTCTGATGATGATTAAGCGTTTTACTCCTGGTGTTACTCTGATGATGATTAAGCGTTTTACTCCTGGTGTTACTCTGATGATGATTAAGTGCTTTACTCCTGGTGTTACTCTGATGATGATTAAGCGTTTTACTCCTGGTGTTACTCTGGTGATGATTAAGCGTTTTACTCCTGGTGTTACTCTGGTGATGATTAAGCGTTTTACTCCTGGTGTTACTCTGATGATGATTAAGCGTTTTACTCCTGGTGTTACTCTGATGATGATTAAGCGTTTTACTCCTGGTGTTACTCTGATGATGATTAAGCGTTTTACTCCTGGTGTTACTCTGGTGATGATTAAGCGTTTTACTCCTGGTGTTACTCTGATGATGATTAAGCGTTTTACTCCTGGTGTTACTCTGGTGATGATTAAGCGTTTTACTCCTGGTGTTACTCTGATGATGATTAAGCGTTTTACTCCTGGTGTTACTCTGATGATGATTAAGTGTTTTACTCCTGGTGTTACTCTGGTGATGATTAAGCGTTTTACTCCTGGTGTTACTCTGATGATGATTAAGTGCTTTACTCCTGGTGTTACTCTAATGATAATTAAGCGTTTTACTCCTGGTGTTACTCTGATGATGATTAAGCGTTTTACTCCTGGTGTTACTCTGATGATGATTAAGCGTTTTACTCCTGGTGTTACTATGATGATGATTAAGCGTTTTACTCCTGGTGTTACTCTGATGATGATTAAGCGTTTTACTCCTGGTGTTACTCTGATGATGATTAAGCGTTTTACTCCTGGTGTTACTCTGATGATGATTAAGCGCTTTACTCCTGGTGTTACTCTGATGATGATTAAGCGTTTTACTCCTGGTGTTACTCTGGTGATGATTAAGCGTTTTACTCCTGGTGTTACTCTGATGATGATTAAGCGTTTTACTCCTGGTGTTACTCTAATGATGATTAAGCGTTTTACTCCTGGTGTTACTCTGATGATGATTAAGCGTTTTACTCCTGGTGTTACTCTGATGATGATTAAGTGCTTTACTCCTGGTGTTACTCTGATGATGATTAAGCGTTTTACTCCTGGTGTTACTCTGATGATGATTAAGCGTTTTACTCCTGGTGTTACTCTGATGATGATTAAGCGTTTTACTCCTGGTGTTACTCTGGTGATGATTAAGCGTTTTACTCCTGGTGTTACTCTGGTGATGATTAAGCGTTTTACTCCTGGTGTTACTATGATGATGATTAAGCGTTTTACTCCTGGTGTTACTCTGATGATGATTAAGCGTTTTACTCCTGGTGTTACTCTGATGATTAAGCGTTTTACTCCTGGTGTTACTCTGATGATGATTAAGTGCTTTACTCCTGGTGTTACTCTGATGATGATTAAGCGTTTTACTCCTGGTGTTACTCTGGTGATGATTAAGCGTTTTACTCCTGGTGTTACTATGATGATGATTAAGCGTTTTACTCCTGGTGTTACTCTGATGATGATTAAGCGTTTTACTCCTGGTGTTACTCTGATGATGATTAAGCGTTTTACTCCTGGTGTTACTCTGATGATGATTAAGCGTTTTACTCCTGGTGTTACTCTGGTGATGATTAAGTGTTTTACTCCTGGTGTTACTCTGATGATGATTAAGCGTTTTACTCCTGGTGTTACTCTGATGATGATTAAGTGTTTTACTCCTGGTGTTACTCTGGTGATGATTAAGCGTTTTACTCCTGGTGTTACTCTGATGATGATTAAGCGTTTTACTCCTGGTGTTACTCTGGTGATGATTAAGTGTTTTACTCCTGGTGTTACTCTGATGATGATTAAGCGTTTTACTCCTGGTGTTACTCTGATGATGATTAAGCGTTTTACTCCTGGTGTTACTCTGGTGATGATTAAGTGTTTTACTCCTGGTGTTGATGATGGTGTTGTTACTCTGATAATGGTGTTGATGTTGTTGTTGATCTTGTAGGTCTGAGCCCGACGGAGCTGCCGTTCGACTGTCTGGAGCGCACCAGCCGGATGCTGAGCTCCACCTACAGCGCAGATAAAGCGGTGGTGAAGACATGGCGGCACCTGGCGGAGAGCTTCGGGCTGAAGCGGGACGAGATCGGGGGCATGAGTGACGGCATGCAGCTCTTCGACCGCGTCAGCACCGCGGGTTACAGCATCCCGGACCTGCTGACCCGCCTCGTGCAGATCCAGCGGCTGGACGCCGTCGAGACCCTGTGCTCAGACATCCTCGGGGGCCCGGAGAACAGCGGCCCTGCATCAGGACACCATCACACACTGACGTCCCGCTGCGCTAGTGTCTGACACACACACAGTCACACACACACGAAGAGTCACAACCTGTCGCCCCTTTCCACCAGCGTCTGACAAAGAGAAACACACACACACACAAAGAATCCCACCCTGTCGTCCAGCTGCACCAGCATCTGACACACACACACACACATTGACATTTAATAATTTAGCAGACGCTTTTATCCAAAGCGACTAACAAAAGGAGAATAGAAGCACTCAGAACAACAAGAGGACCACAGTACACGAACAGCAAGGTTCTTTTTTTCCCTTTTTTTAAATCAGAAAAACCAAAACTAATTGAATAGTATAGAATAGAAAAAGTAAGTGCTAGTATTAATTGGTCAGGTGCTGACGAAAAAGATTTTGAAAATGGCTATAAAGACTCGAAATGAGATGAATCCAGACACATGAAGAATCCCACCCTGTCGTCCCGCTGCGCCACACACACACACACACGAAGAATCAGATCTGGACCACACCTGAACATCACGTCCTCTTTAGACACATGGACATTCGACCGGTCAGTGTGCATTAATAACCCAATGCAAGTGTGTGTTTGCTTCTCTTCAGCTCCTTCGTCTCTCTTTTACTGCAAGAACAGTCTGAAGAGAGTGTGTTCAAGGTCTGGATCTGTTGTAATGTGTGTTTTAAGGCAAGACACTACAGGTGAAGAGGGTAAAACATGTTCACTAATACATCCAAGCATACAGATTCATCAGAAAATTAAGAAAACCGTTTTCTTTTCTGAAAAGTTATGTTTAAAACATGCGCCTTAAACATCATCATCAGAGTGACATCATCATCATCAGAGTGACATCATCATCAGGAAAGACATTCATCTGCAACACTTTGCCGAAATGTTTATTGTGCAAAAGCAACACTTTTTTTATTATTATTACTTTATATTTACTCATAACATTTTAAGTAAACCAAGTTTAAATATGCAAATGAGGCATTGTCTAATTAAATATGCACTAATTTGCATACATTTCCCGAACGTAAATCTAAGCATTGTACAAATACAGGTTCAAAACTCTTTTGTTGAAATATTAGAGTTAAAGGTTTTTACAGACGGGACTCTGGATTTTTCTTTTTGTCAGAAACCAGATAATACTGTCAACAGACAGAAGAAAATACATGTTATTATGTTTGTAGGAGTAAAACATTGTATAAATCAGGCGACTGATATATGAACAAACCTTCAGAATATAGATTTGTAAAGTTTGGTGAATGTGAAGCTGAAGTGGAGATGTCTGACTCAAACTCACCGCTTTTAAAGATACGGACTGAAAAGTAAACCTACAGACGCACAGATGAAGTGCAATAAAAGAAACACTTAAATGTGTATTTTTTATGTTTTCTTTCCTCAAGACTTATAGAAGCGAAAGTGAGCAGTGCATGTAAAAGCAATGGTTTTGCCTGTAGTGTCTTGCATTAATGTCACAGACCTGAAGAAAGCTGTTTTACACACGTCACACGTGTCGTGTGTGTGTGTGTGTGTGTGTGTGTGTGTTTCTGCCCCACATCTGAACTCACTGTATCTGCTTCAGTCTCGATCACAATATGGACTCAATGAACTGCATGTCAGACTGACACAAACATAAATCTGTGGAACAGTGTGTGAGTGAGTTTGAGAGTGTAAGTGTGTGTGTGTGTGTGTGTGTGTGTGTGTGTGAGAGAGAGAGAGAGAGTGTGAGTGTGTTTGAGTGTGCGAGTATGGGTGTGAGTATGTGTGTGTGTGTGTGTGTGTGTGTGTGAGAGTGTAAGTGTGTGTGAGAGAGAGAGTGTGAGTGTGTTTGAGTGTGCGAGTATGGGTGTGAGTATGTGTGTGTGTGTGTGAGAGTGTAAGTGTGTGTGAGAGAGAGAGTGTGAGTGTGTTTGAGTGTGTGTGTGTGTGTGAGAGAGAGAGAGAGAGATTGTGTGTGTGTGTGTGTGTGTGTGTGTGTTTGAGTGTGTGTGAGAGAGAGAGAGTGTGTGTGAGTGTGTGTGTGTGCGCGCAAGTATAGGTGTGTGCGTGCGAGTATAGGTGTGTGAGTGAATATGGGTGTGTGTGTGTGTGTGTGTGTGTGAGTATGTGAGAGAGAGAGAGAGAGTGTGAGTGTGTTTGAGTGTGCGAGTATGGGTGTGAGTATGTGTGTGTGTGTGTGTGTGTGTGAGAGTGTAAGTGTGTGTGAGAGAGAGAGTGTGAGTGTGTTTGAGTGTGCGAGTATGGGTGTGAGTATGTGTGTGTGTGTGTGTGTGAGAGTGTAAGTGTGTGTGAGAGAGAGAGTGTGAGTGTGTTTGAGTGTGTGTGTGTGTGTGAGAGAGAGAGAGAGAGATTGTGTGTGTGTGTGTGTGTGTGTGTGTTTGAGTGTGTGTGAGAGAGAGAGAGTGTGTGTGAGTGTGTGTGTGTGCGCGCAAGTATAGGTGTGTGCGTGCGAGTATAGGTGTGTGAGTGAATATGGGTGTGTGTGTGTGTGTGTGTGTGTGTGTGTGTGAGTATGGGTATGAGTGTGTGAGTATGGGTGTGTGTGTGTGTGTGTGTGTGTGTGTGTGTGTGTGTGTGTGTGCGAGTGAGTATGGGTGCGTGTGTGTGTGTGAGTATGGGTATGAGTGTGTGTGTGTGTGTGTGTGTGTGTGTGTGTGTGTGTGTGCGTGTGTGTGTGTGCTGGGGCTATCCGCTGCTGCTGGGACTAATTGTGTGGAATTGGAGGTTTATGACTCAAAGTGCCTGTGATTTCCAGCACCTCATTAACTAATAATCCAAACAGAAAAGCCATAAAGTGCCGATGGGAAGCCGAGGCGGCTGTATAAAAGTTTAACTGCATGCGAAAGGTAGAAGCCAGGGGAAAAGTCTCCGGTGAGCCGCGGGTGACCCTGTTTTAATGATCTGCCACTCTGTAACATGTTTAATTACTTTGTGCCATTATATGCCTGCTTAACGTGTTCCACACAGCTCGTGTTTTTCACTTAATCACTCGGAGAGTTAGAGTTACACATTTTGTAGGAAATTCAACTGTTGTCAGAAATGGAGCAGGTCTCCAGTTTCCCAAAGAATCACCTGCACATTCACGTGTCACGGTTAGACTGGTCAGTTGCTGCATCATGTTTGTTGTTTACCCTTCCTCATGACCCACTGTTAAATATATATATACAGTATCAACGTTTTATTTTATTTTAAACCTTGTAAAGGCCACGTCAACCTCATCAACACGTTTATGGCAGCGCACCTGGATCAATGCAACTAATACAACCATTCAAGTGTATATATAACTTATTATTGTACATATGCACCATGTATAGAAGTATCAATTAAGAAATAAAATCAAAAAAATTATATCATAATAATGTTGTCCCTTGTTATTCTGTTATACATGTAATATTGAACTGTTTTCAGAAGCTCAAACTCAGATTGAAAACTTCCTTAAGTACTTAAAACACTGTTGGTGTTTGTTGTTGTTGTTGTTTTAGATATACAGTAATGGCCAAAAGTGATGTGATTTGTGTTTATTGACCATACAGGTGAAACTCTAAAAATTAGAATATTGTGCAAAAGTTCATGTATTTCAGTAATTCAAATTAAAAGGTGAAACTAATATATTTAGTATATATAACTATATACATATGCATGATTATACTTTCCAGAGGGCCGACATTTGTGTATTTAAAATCCTTTTTTTTATTGATTCCATGCAATGTTCTAATTTTCTGAGATTTTGAATTTGGGGTTTTCATAAGCTGTAAGCCATAATCATCAAAATTATAACTTTTGCATGATATTCTAATTTTTCGAGTTTCACCTGTATATACAAGTTAAACCATCATAACTTTATATTTGTAAACATTTTTAATATGAGGGAAGAGCAAAAAACACTTAACTTGGTTAAAGGTATTTATCTGACAAAATGATTTGGGCAAACTACAACGGAAGCGTATTGCATTCACTTGAAGAAAAAAATCTACTCTGTTTTTCTGAATTAACGAGTTAATTATCTCAGAATTACAAGATAATTTTTCATGGAAAAAAAGTTTTTGCTCTGTTTTTCTGAATTTCTGAGTTTTTGAGATAATCAAGTCATTAATTCAGGAAAACAGAGCAAAAAAAATTTTCCATGAAAAATTATCTTGTAATTCTGAGATAATTAACTCGTTAATTCAGAAAAACAGAGCAAAAACTTTTTTTCCATGAAAAATTATCTCGTAATTCTGAGATAATTAACTCGTTAATTCAGAAAAACAGAGTAGATTTTTTTCTTCAATAATGCAATACTCTTCCGTAAACTACAGCTAAAATCAATAGAAAAACTAAAAAGCTGGCAGGAAAAAAAAGCAAACATTGACTACAAAATACAATAATAATAAGTTATTAATGTGTTCATATTTTCTCTACATGACATCCTGGATAAAAATGATGTCGGCATGTTTCCTTGCATCTTTAACACATTTTTAATATCTGAATAAAGGTGAAGGATGTCAATTTTCCTCGGCTGAAATCACAGATAAGTCATTAGAGGCACCTTTGGGAATAATGAGCATTACACACATTTTCCATATGGAAGTCCAGGGTCGATTCGAGGTTCGACTAAAGTATGCAGATTCCTTGAACTGCTCATTAACATATAGGATACGCAAGTGATTCTCAGAGGTTCAAAAACCACTGTGCAGTGTTGCATTATGGTCATTTGATAGGACAAGCAGCAACAATGATATAATATCCCAATACACAATATTTAGAATATGCGATCCACGTGACAGCAGCCAAAAACACATTGGACCCAATTTTTACAATCTAAGCGCATGATCTAAAGCGCAGGGCTCAAGTGCACTTATGGCGAGTCCGAATCCACTTTTTCTAGTTTAATGACGGGAAAAATGGTCGGTGCTCCCGGCGCATGATCTAAAAGGGTCGTCTCTATTTGTGTGTTGATTCTCTTAAAGGGTTAGTTCACCCCAAAATGAAAATGATGTCATTAATGCCTCTCCCTCGTGTCGCTCAAGCCCGTCAGACCTCCGTTCATCTTCAGAACACAGTTTAAGATATTTTAGA